TTTTACCCTGGTAGGAACCTGGGACATTCCTGTCACCATGGTATCAGAATTGACCATCATTCCTGTAACAAACATGATCTGCTCAGTGGTTCATCAGCTCTTCACACCCAGTTGAAAACTACAAACAATGTTATTTTCTCATACTGAAAGCAGTGTCCTCATCCTGGTTTCAGAGAGGGTTTTATGTTGCATTATATACACATTTAAGAGTTTTCACCATCATAGTTAAGCATTAAGATAGTCTGTTCCACTTTTACAAACAATAGTTTGGTTGTACAGCAAACAACAAAGAAATTAGGGATAAGAACATTTAAATATTCTGAAGTTTAAGACCAATGTGTTTTACTGGAACACTAACCAAGCATGCGCTGTAATGTGTTAAGTGATGTGAATTTCAGCAAGGACCACTTACCTTTTCTACCAGAAACTGTAGCAGACACTTGTTCACTCTGCTCTTTAATAGCTTCCATTTCCCCATCTGTCTCCTAAAAATGGTTTAGAGAGTAATTATACAAACTTGCCACAAATACTTGACAATAAGATCAGTTATGATGGAGGTACTCTAGTCCTACAGTGGGTTTGTGTGAACTAGTCATGTACTTTATACTGCTGCCACTGCCGTGTATGGAAACTAGTTCTTGAATGGGTTGGAAGGCTTCCCCTCCCTAAATCAGTTTGAGTCTTCCTTGGAGAAGGCTCAAGTTACCTTGCAAACTCCTCATGAAGTGACACTACCTAGAACTTCTTAAGCAGTCAGATTACTATGCTGGAATACGAGATGGAGAGAATTTAAAGTAGCCCAGGATGGGCAGGAAAAAACCGAAAACCAACCACCACCAAGCCTGTCCCATCTGGCCTGAACCCATGAGGGGAATCACTGGACCAGATCCTCAGCTCGTGTAAATCATCATAGCTCCTTTGGCAGCCAACTGACACCAGCCAAGGAACTGGTAGTGCAGTCTCTGGGAGGGGAGTCCAACCCATTGTGGTGCTTACCCCTTTCATCCTTAGTAGGTTTTCCAGTGTGGGACTTTTCAGACATACCAGCAATCCGTTTCTCAAGCCAACCCATCTGTCACTTCAGCATTGCCTGTCTTCTCTTACAACTAAAGCCAATGGGTTGCACATGCCAGCATTCCTAGAACTTTAGCAGTCTAGTAGAGCTCTTACCAGATCTAGCTGTAATTCTTTTTCAGGTGTAGTTTTGTGATTGTCCATGATGGGGCAAAATTCACTTTTAGTCGTCAGATCCGTATCTGAAGAGAGATATTCCAGAAAGTGGATGTAAAGATTTCAAAGATGAACAAATGTTACCCATTAACTAGATTTCTAAAGCAGGAACCACCACTGCTCTCTCATACCGCCCTCCCCGCCCCGTAGTAATTACCAGAAGAAAATGCAATAAAGAAAGAGGCCTTTAAAAGCCAGCAGCACAGAGTGCTGTAGAAATAAATAAAAAATAAATAAATATATGGAGATATACCTATCTCATAGAACTGGAAGGGACCGTGAAATGTCATTGACTCCAGCCCCCTGCCTTCACTAGCAGGACCAAGTACTGATTTTGCCCTAGGTCCTTAAGTGACCCCCTCAAGGATTAAACTCACAAGCCTGGGTTTAGCAGGCCAATGCTCAAACCACTGAGCTATCCCTCCCCACTGCAAAGAAAGTGCAGGTAATGCTGCTATGGCACATTTATTGAATCAAAGCATCACAACACGAAGGGCTACCGCTTTGTACTGATCAGTCATGCTGGTTGCAGCTGCTCTAAGTTTGCAAGACAGTTTCTATATATTCAGCCCAAAGCAATTGTTTCCGAAAATTGAAGTTTTCTATGCTTTGATTATTTGATTTTGGGGGTGACGGAGGGAAGTTAAATTAAAAAAATAAAATAAAAGTCAGTCAGTTTAGAGTTGTAAGAAATATTTCTGATCTCACATGAAGAGGCTAAAGGAGGTTTGGAAGTGGTGCTCTGCTTAGCAATATAGGGTGTGAGGGAGCGAGCACAATAGATGTAATTCAGTTACCATCACCTAGAAGCTTGAATGCACCTGCATGCTCCAGGTCTTTATTCGAAAAGCTAGAATAATGTCGGAAGACACAGGACCCATGTGCAGTAGACACTTTGGTGCCTGAAGTGAACTGTGGTACACAGTACAGATACTTGTTCAGCTGCAAGAATGTAGAAGCTCTACTGCTAGAGTAGATTAAACTCCAAGGGTTGTGAGCTACAGATCAAAGGGCAACAAACTGGTGAGTGCAGCAAACTGCTCAACTCTAGTCTAAGAAGCAGACATCACTAAGTGCCACAACCAATCACCTCTGGTTTTTAGGATGTTATATGCTCCATTGGAGAGGCTGCTGAATTTTTAAAACATTCAAAAGAAGTAGTGTACAGGGAGCTAGATCTAATGCAATATTAAGTTTGCACAGTCAAGCACTCAAAAGGTTAGGCAATTCCAAGAGTTCATTTCTCCTGCAATGGCAGCTCTAGCTACAAAGAATCTCTTTTCAAAATTAACAACAAAACGCGAGTCTATATTAGTACCAACCAAAGAAACAGGATGTGCAACATGGTCAATAGTGTGATCGAGAACTGGACTTCTAGAATTTTCTCTTTTACAGACTTTACACTGAATTAACACTAGTAACAAACAAACCAACAAGTCCTACAAAGCCTACCTTATTCTTTCAAAAAGCAATAGACGTTATGGTTGGCACTATTGAAAGCAACAGTAGCAAACCACCAATAACCCTCTGCCTCTATTTGTGTATTAGAAAGACATTCTGCAGAAGTATAGTGATGCCTTAGATATAAGAGGAGTGCTGACAGTTTAGTACAACATGGAAGATACAGGACAACTGGATATTGAGATTTCAACTAGCACTAGTAGGATCCAAGCTATGGGCACAGCTCTGCCATCCTACCCCATTCCGGCTCTATGCTTAAGACTGTGTGCTTCCACCCATCGAGTCATTGATAAGCCAAGTGAAATATCTTCAGCAATGCTACTTTCTGAAGCCAGGCTGGTCTGTTTTTCCAAGAAAAAGTTTATGAAGGTAAATTAGAAAGGAAATTACTAGTGAAGAAACAAATACCTTAAATCTGGCATCTAACATTAGAGACTTTAGAACCCAGCCCAAAGGAAGATGAATGTTTAGAAAAAGAATGACATCTCTGGGGTCCATTACTGACTAAATTAGCATATTCTAGAAGTGCATTCCAAATTACAAATCAATATTTAAAACAAGTGTTCTCTGCTATTCTGTGCAGTGTACTCTAAAGTCAGCTTTTATCAAAAATATACTCTGTATATGTATGATTTTCCTTAACTTAGGCTTGTGTGTGCTCAAGGAGAAAAGTCGGGACATTTGTTTTACTAAGTGAAGGAAACACATTCAGGAACAAAGATGAGAATAGTGTTGCTTGACCTCAGTGAGAACTCTTCCCTCACTCTCTCCCCACCCCAACCTCTCCCCAGTGTTTTGGGCCGCTCAAGTTTGACATAGATTGACTGATGTTTCCCCATTTCCCTTCAACGGATCATGCGGCACAGTGCTTTGGAATCTTTTTCATTTGTTTACATTTTCAGAAGAGCTGCATTAAATTTAATGCTTATGAAAGGTGCCTGGATTGCCAGCCCTGGCAGGAGAGTAATCACCTTTACCAACTCATTCTACGTGCCCCTTTTTGCAGTGTCTTAAGCCCTAATCCTGCAATGGTCCCTGCCCAGGCAAAGCCCTATACTTGTGCAGAACCCCAGTGAAATCTGGAAGCAGTTGCAGGCCAAAAAGTTATTATTCTGAACATAATGTAGACGGAGAGAGAGCTTTGCACAAATTCTTACTCAACTTCCTCACTTCAAAAAGATATGTTGGAAGCAAGCAGTTTCCCCATCACATGATAAATCTTCAGAGCAGCTACAATACCTGATACATCATTATTCAGATCCTTATCTTTATTTTTCTTCATTGCTATACAGGTTGATGTGTCTTCATCTTTTGCCCATGAAGCCTCCGACAATTGTGTCTCCATGGCGAGCAATTCTATAATAGGAGGAAATAGAAGGCAGAGCCATTACTGCTAAAAAGCTGCATATACTCAAGGGAATCTTAGTCAGACATCTCAGACAAAATTCATGGATCACTGTGCTTCCACTTTAAGAACTTACCAGTTGATATAGAGCTCTCCAAAGAAGATGTAATATCTTCTTCTTGGGATGGTGTTGAATGTTCACTGCCAAGACAGGAAAACACTTAGACATTCATGATCTGATAGGTCTGGTTAATTTATTTAAGAATTAAATGTATACACAGAGACTGACCTGGACAAGACTGGATTATCCGATGTTAAAGGCAAAGCACTACTCTCCTTAACAAAAGAAATGTTAAAGCGTTTTAGTGTTTATACTTGTAATAGGACATCACTTCTTGTGTAAAGCAAATTTATAATATTTACCAGGTCCCAGTCTTAAACAATTCCTTTAGATGTATCTAGATCTGGTTGAAATATATTCATTTCAGTAGAGAGGGGGTTATTTAAAAAAAAAAGTTTGCACCCTCCCCTGCCCATGTTTTTCAGCCAGTTCTAGATGTATAGTGTATGTTTTAATACTGTTACTACCAGGGGAGTGTAATTATGTTTTTGTAGAAGTAGTAATTTTGGGGGGAAATCTGTTCACATCTATAGTTTTGTTACAAAAAGCTGTACTCCTGACCTTTATGCCAAAGAGCTTCACACTTTGATTTTAAAGTGTGTTGTTTCAAAGAAATGTCACAATGCTAGATTTCTCCCCCCCCCACACACACACTTTAAACTGAACTGAGATTGTGATGCAAGTCTTAAAGAGAAACAAAGCCACTTGGCCTTTCCTGCCATTTGTTTCCCCCACCACTTTCAAAGCCATGCTACATTGCTCACCAAGATGATTTGGGGACATAGTCCCTTCCAGAAATTCAGAAAGCAACACTAGAAAAAGCTCTGAAGCTGAATCAGTGTTGCTTCTACGAGACAATGAGCTTTTGCTCGGGTTAAATTACATGTTGTTTAAGAGATGAACATTTACATTCAAGTCTCCATTTTTGATTCCTACTAATAGCAACATTGTACCACATCCACCAGATCTTAGAGCAGAAAGGCACTCGTTTTTTCATACTAGCTTAATGATCATAACAACTTTGTTTCACCATTAAGGGCCAAATTCTTTTCTCAGTTCAATTTGTTGCACCTGAACAACAGACAAGTCTGGCCCCAAATCTGTAGCACATTGCTGATAGATAAACTGCCTTTTAAAAAGCTTGAACTTTGAATCCAGTGTGTATTTTACATTTTATTACCATTGTCAATTCCTTGGACCACCACCACCACAAAGCAAATACACTTGGAGTTACATTAGTATAGTTCTAAGATTTTGGTTTTGAATCCCAGTTATCAGTAGTTAATTTGGAATTGTAGGAGGAGGTTTGCATGGTTTTTGTGGCCACTCCTCTCAGTGTGTCTAGGGAGTGCATTTGCTTTAATGTGCACATGACAAAGACTAGTAATGCTATTGTATTGGATTTCCACGTCACTCTGGTTAACATTATGCTTTCCCCCCAGATTCATTTTATAATAGTACATATACAACAGGCTGTCTTGTACAGAGTGGTTATCACAGTTTGTGGGGGACAGAAGCTCTTCAAATTAAAATGGTAAGAGTGTCTTGGAGACTAGTTATAGAATAGCAAGTAAATAGCTTTTGTGTTCCTTGCTATTTACCTGTACCAGCAAGGAGATAGATATGAAGAGGATCTAACATGTACAAAAGATGTTTGGAACATAGGCTTCTGAGGGAAAAATTTAACTCCCCCTGAAGTGAATGGGAGACCAGCCCACTTATTCAAGGGGAGAATTCCACCCCTGTACAATATAGAAAAAATCCTGTTACTATAGCATAGAAATAATGAAGATGAAGGAGAAATTTAATGAGCCCATCCATGGAGGACATGCTGACTAAGAACCTGAGCAGATATTAAAAAACAAAAGGGAGGGAGCGTAGGAAAGGAAAGTAATCAAAGCACAGAGATAGGAGTTGGCTGGAGTTTCTCAGAGAGATGTGCAGTATTGGTAACCTCCTCAAATTTTACATTTCTGAACCTGTTTAATTTTGTAAGAGTGGGATCTAGAAGTGAAGTGAGAAGAAAATCTTTATTTATGAACTTTCTTTCTACAGAAAAAGCCTCCATACGCTTTTATCATAGAAACATGTCATACAGCCAACAGTGTTCTGAAGGGACAAGTGATTATGGACCCCTTGATGCTTAGGTCCCCAACCTTACGCCTGCATGGGGCCTGATTTTTAAGAGGATGTAAGCTCAGCTGTTTCTGAAAAATGTGAGCCCCCTTTCAAGATGTTTTTAGTTGGGCAAGCAAAAACTGAGCAACTTTAAAAATAAATAAATAAATAAATAAATAATAAAAAGCCCCACTGGACAGCAATGCTGTGTATGTTGTTCAGTTTCCTTTCTCCCCACATTAGTTTAAGGATCAGTGACTAGAGTTCAGCTCAGTCATCTGGATGTTTCCTCATGCAAATCTCTGCTATTTATACTCTTATTTGAATTCTCTCTTGGGCTTAAGGAAGCTACAGTGTTTTATTTTTCTCTAGGGGAGGGAGCAGTGTACTGGAATGGAAACAAAAAGACTCAAGGGAGCTTATAAATGTAGTACTACCTCGAAATCAAGAGGGATTGACCAAAGCAAGAGACACCCCCACATATAATGCAGGAATAAATTCAAGCTTTCAGTGACTTTGTTACAAGCCAAAGGAGAACTGAAAGCCGTTCTATACTTTTCATCCACACCTAGTTCTTTTCCAAAGACTTTAAAGTGTTAAGAACTGTTGAAACTTCTGGATTGCAGAGGTAGAATTTTAAAAAAAAAAGCCACACTGTGGCTTTACTATCACACCTATCAGTGTACGCCAGAGATACCTGCCTTTAATAGGTTTAACAAAATCATGATTTTACAGAAATTCAGGGCACAGTTACTACCTGCTATATGCAATATATCAGTCATTCTAGTGAAGCAAGGTAATGATTTGCAATTGAGCCCAAACCAGCTCTGTTTACAAGTGTGAAAAACACATGATCTCCTTATAATATCAATATTTCTCTATCATCTAGGCCTACTTCTTGTAATGGAGAGTGTGTTTGCTGTTTCACTGTCCTCCAGACACTATCTGTGTTGTAGCAGTCTTCTGGTGAAGTACTCCTTGCATAAAAGCTTACAGAATCCCCAAGGAATCAATATACATTTCCTTGGTGATGTGTCGGAAAGCAAGTGGTTAGTTCTAAGCCCCCAGCATAGAAAGATTAGTTTGACTCACACAAGAGCTAGAGATTTAGAGCAGCCTCAAATCCCTACTCTGACCATGTTTTCACAACACACACACACACACACACACACAGTAATACAAGTATGGAGTTACTTACATTCTGAAGGACTCACTATAAGCAACACACCTGCAGGTAACCACAGTCTGATAAAATGCTAGAGACACTCTTCCTATTAAACATGGACATTCAAATTTTGTTCTACGTCATAGTTTTTAGACCAGATATGGGATACTGCCCATTTGCCTTTCCTTCAGTTCAGACCTGGAATCTTGTCCCAGGGAAGAAAGAAGGATTATGAATACTACACAAAAGGGATTCCAACAGAAATACAGAGGAACCCTACCCAGAGCCAAAAAGTGTAATTTGGGGTATAAACTGGAATTACAGAACTATACAAATATGGAGTGTGTTATGTTGCTTTAAATGTACACAACAGTGCTGGTCACAAGTGCTGTGTGGAACAAGGCCCTCTAGCTAGCCAAAGCAGAAGTACAATATGGGCAATAGCAGTGCAAGAGAAGGCTTCCTCACCTAGCCCCCTACACCAGTCAACCAACATCTCTCAACCCAAAGATCACTCTAATGTGGAAAGAGTGATTGAGTAGCTGTCTCATTTTCTCCTTTGCTTCTCCACCAAGGGTGGATAATGACTATTGCAGATGGCTGGGCCACTTCACAGTGGGCAGGTCTGAGGTTACTAACTCATTTGTAGCAGAAAATGATTTCACTATTAGTCTAAATTAGGTTGCACTTTCATTTGATGCAGCAGTACGGAAAAAAGTGCCATTGTATTAGTCTGACAGGCCAGATGCAAATGTCGCTGAAGTCCAGGATTTGAAATCCTGATCCCATTGACAAAGCTCAGGCACATTTCCAATTAACATCACAATTAGAAAGTGTACGGTGCTGACTAGAACAGAAAGTAACGTTGGTGACCAGCAATCAAGGCGAGAACCAAGGATTTACTCTAATGTTCATCTGCCTGTCGTAACTGGTCACTTTGTGGGACTGAGGACCATTTATTTGGTCTTTTTCCTCACCTTAAGCACTGAGTGGACAGACACACTATCCCATTGAAATCTAGATGCAAATCTGAACTACGCTATATTGGGTAAAGTATCGATCACCTTGTTTTTCTTAAGCAAAAATGGATTTTTGGAAGAGCATAGTCATAACGTAATAGTTTTCACAGAAGGAAGTATACAGAAAGACAATCAGATGGGATTATTAAAAAGTAAAGATGCCTCCTTGGTTTTTTGTTTCATCTCTTCCCCTCCCTCCCCCAAACATGTTGTTGGGAACGGATATCATTCATGCTTTACCAATAGAGGAGTCCCTTGTTACTAAAAAAGGAACACTCATTTTAAGATTTGTACATTGAATAAAGAGTACTCTGAGTTAGAGTATAGGATTTATATACTCCTAAACTTTGATCTGGATTTGAACATCACAGGTCAAGTACATTTCTGGAATGTTTTATTCCAATCACAGTTATTAAAAGAGATAGTCTCAGTTGGTATGTCTCCCAATAGCCTGCATAAAGAAAGGTAAGTCAGCAGAAGTCCACCGATTTACCAATGGAGCAATGCCGATTTACCCACCTTGAAAGTCTGACCCCTCAATTCTATTTTAAAAAGACAGTGCACTATTGCAAGTAAAGGGCTACCAAATGCAAAGGCAAGACTGCTGAAATTAAAGACAGCACTAACCTCAGTAAATAGAGAGTCCATTGTAGTAGAGAAGGCAACAAAATCTGCATCAGTCTGGTTACCAACAGAGCGTATCTTCCACCTGGCAGCACAAATTTTATTTGCATATTGCAACAAGATCACATTTGGATGTTTTCCTTAAATTAATTTTACACAGAAACAAGAGTTGAAGTTCGCCACCATGTCTTCGTGAAGACTGGGGCTATTCCCCAACCATGACAGATACATCATTAAGCAAAACAAGTCTAATGAAAATGACATTGACAGATAGTAACAGAGGAGTCACGAGAGTTGCTGAGACTTGCAGTCACTTGTTTGCAATGCAAAGTTCTGCTTCCTCAGCAACAGCCACATCACATTTTTTAAAAATCAGTTTCCAAAAAGGGAAAAATCAGATATAGCCTTAAGAGGAAGAAAATTTTATACCACAATGGCTACAAAAGCATCTCTGGTGCTTTGATGACCCTGTAAATTATCAATTTCTAGTCACAGTTAGGAAAGGAGGTCTAGTGGATGGCACATTAGCCTGGAGCTCAAGGACCTGATTTTCAGTTCCAAGTTCAGCCACAGGCTTCCTCTGTGACTTAGTCTATCCTATGCCTCAGGTCCCCCATCTGTAGAATGGGAATACTACCTCCATGGCTCTCAGGGGCATTGTAAGAATAACCCTTATTCATGAACGTGAGGCACTCTGGTTCTTCAGTGATAAGGGACATATAGATACCATTATAACCAGTGATGCCATTATTTGCTCACTAATTCAGAATATAGTCTCATTCCCCTGCAGTGATGCTGTAGTATTAAACAAGACCAGATTCTTGAAGGTTAACAACAGAAACTATACTAGAACAGCTAGAGAGTGGCGGTCTTCAGCTCCCCTCAAGAGTCTGTGGTAACACTACTTGTCCAGTCTCCCTTTCCCCGGACCCCAGCCCAAACATTGTTTTGCCCTCTTACTTGTGTCCCTCCAGTGTCACGTCCAAAGTAGACCCATTTTTCAGATCGTCCCTTTCAAACATAGAGCGAGCTCTGGTTGTTACACATGTGAGATCACTGCTTGTGTACACTCTTGGATTCAGCTGTAGGATTTCCAAGGCCAGAGCATCTGTTAACAAAGATGCAGACTTGAAATAATGAGCAGGGTGTCAACATAAAAAGTTACTAGTCAGTCAGCTGGGTAGATTTGGTCCTTTTCTATCAACAGATATATCCACACCTCAGAGACAATAAACCTGATTGTACATTTGCCCTGTTTCATTCGCTTGCTACTTTCATAGGTTATTAGTAAAGGTTCAGGGAGCTGTAGAGAAATATAAGCAGACTACAGGTGGATGGACATAAAACTTGGCAGAATCCATTTTTAAGGGGAGCATGACCAGCAGTCCAGGGTAGGCCAGTGACCATTGACACACTTGCATTTGAGCAGTGGTGTCCATTTGCCACACTGCAACGCTAGCAGCCAGTCTCTACCTCACACAGCTTTCAGATTTGACAATTGTACATGGCATTTTGAACTGAAGCAGTGGTGTCATGGGGAGATGGGAGGATGGTAATGTGTGGGAGGCAAGGCAGCAGCACTTACTGTAGAAAGTAACATTGTACATTGCAGTGGAAATAAAACCTTGGTTAGAGCAACCCTGGGCTCCCAGACAACAGGGACCAGTAGGCAAAGGGAGGAATTGCAGACACTGCATAGAATGACATCTCTGCAGAATCAGCTTACAGTGGCATTATGGGAAGGTGACCGATTGGCTAGATGGAAGCTCACTGACCCACATCTATGCCATGACATGGCCTGGACTCTCAGCTACAAGCTAAAGCTTGGGATAAATGAAGCAGGCCAAATTGGGATGTTAAAAGCTCAGTTTTTGATGCCTGTCATATACAACGTAAGCTAAACCGCCTCATCATTAGTGCTGGAGATTGATGGTACAGCCATTTGTTTTGCACAAGAAAAGCTCTTCAGTTGCCATTTCCAGTTGTCTGTGAGATGGCTCATGAACACAGCTATTCTTTAGATCCAGCCAGGCAAAGGCATCTCAGGTAATTTGTGGGCATTGTTTATACCAATTAAAGCCAATAGCAAATTTTCACCATAGTGAGTTAGGACAGATTTATACTGAGGCACAGGCAACAGATACTTATAGCAAAGAATATCTGTGCTTGATGGAATGATTTCCATTATTGTTCATCTTTTAATCCTTTGCTATTTTAGATTTAGCACCATGTTATATTAGACAATAATTTTAGTTCATCCACCAACTACCTCTGCACTTCAAAAGATCAGGGTACAAAAGAAGGCAAAAACCATAAAAGAGTAGCCAGCAGATCTTACCTAGCAGAGGTGTAGAATACCAGCATGAGTATCTCAAGGAGGGTGTCTTGGGAAGTCCAGTGCCCTGACCTGCTTCTTGGCCCCCAAATCTTTTGAAGGAGCAAAGGTGCTAATTGGAGAAGGGAAAGCGTATGGCAGGTTATTGTTCATCATGTTACTTACTGTAGCACCTACTACCAGCCAGGCACGTTCCCATTGTGCTAGGCACTGTACACACAGAATGCTAGACAATCCCTACCCTGAAGAGTTTACAGTCCAATCGACAAGCCCCACATGGGGTGGGGGAAGGGGTACAATACACAAGCAGCGTGGACAACATGATGGTGGCAGACATGTTAGTGCCATGTTTTCTGAGTAGTGGGTTTAGTTAGGAAGGGATAAGCTAATTAGAAGGTGAGCGGGACAAGGCAGAAGAGGGTGACAGCGGCAGGTGTGGAATGAAGCTGAGCTGAAGAGAGGGTGAGAGCAAAAAGCAACCAGTCAAAGGGCAGAGAAAGTCCAGTGAAGACTATAGAAAACTGACTGAATGGGTCTGCTTTGGCAGCTTCTCCAATGGCTCCTACAGGCTCTCCTCTGCAGTTCCCCTTCCCCTCCCACCAACAGACCCAGTCCCCATGGGGTGGTGGGGGAAGGAGAAGAACCACCTGTGTCCTAGTTCCCCCTCAATTGTATATGCTAACCGTTGTTCAAATGAGGCCTTTTACTGCTGAAAACCAATCAAATAATGCATATTTATGCAGCAGTCGCCATTCATCAATATGTGGGGGAAAAGGTGTTATTTTAACATGGTTCTCAAACCAAGGACGTGTCTGTATTTTAATGATGAATTTATGTCTTCTAGCTTCAAGAACTCTAGTTTGAGTTTCAGCTGAGTTTTCAGCTTCTAGTCCTTCAGAGAAGGGTCACCTATGTCTTAGAACAGTAACTTTTCAAAAAAGCAACAGAAGACCGTCGTTTGCCACATGTGTTTTACAGAAGCTGAAGGACAGTCAATGGAAGATGCATACCAAAAACGTTTAACTTTGCAACAAACCAAACCAGCCCCCCATGCTTCAAAACAAAACAAAACAAAAAAAACTTTGCAGAGAGAAATCTATCAAGAGATCTGGATTTCAATTTCCCAGGTGCACAATGTTTACAGAGTGACAATATAAAGCAAGGCATAAAAAGGAAAAAAAGGATGAGTCAAGAACAGGATAGCATTTATTGATTGTAAATTCTTGAAGGCTACTCCTAAAGCTGTTAACAAAACAAAACAAAAAGTGTTACCAATTTTGGCACAGTTCTGGTAGAATCAATGTTTTTCCCTCCCCCGTGTGATAGGGAAAAAACAAAAACAAACAAAAAACAAAACCAAAAACCTATAGGACTAAAAATAGTGGCCAGAATTTCTCACTACCTTATCTTTTACTGTTTCTTGGTTTAAACTGGACAGTGGACTGTAGTCACTAGCCTCATCTATGCAACTCTATTGTAATAGAAAGATAGTTAGGGCAACTGGATAGGGAGAGAAAAGTATACACTATTACTGCTTGTAGAAGCCATACTGTTGGATTAATATCCTTCTATTGGAGGGATTCTTACAGTTAAGCAATCAGAGTACTACCCAATTTAACCAATTCTGCTTCTGTTTAATCTTTGCAAAAGCTTAATTTTACTCATGCAAACTGTCTCTAACTTAAAAAGAACAGGAGTACTTGTGGCACCTTAGAGACTAACAAATTTATTAGAGCATAAGCTTTCGTGGACTACAGCCCACTTCTTCGGATGCATATAGAGTGGAATAAATATTGAGGAGATATATATACATACATACATACAGAGAGCATAAACAGGTGGGAGTTGTCTTACCAACTCTGAGAAGCCAATTAAGTAAG